AATCAATTGTGAAAATATTTATGATGTGCTTCTTTTTTAATTTAACATATTATAAAAAATACTTAATTTTATGAAAAGATGCTCTTGATTCAATATAAAACTCTGGTTTTTAAGAAAATGGCTGCTTATCAGTTAATTTTTAGTCAATCTATAAGATAAATCAACTTCACATTCATGGATAACTTGCATCCCTAATTTATACAGGAATTAAATTAATTTATATCTACTTATATTTATGTAACTAAGAGATTTAATGATTTGGCTGATTAATTGATTAATCAAAAAAATAATCAACAGATTAATCAATTATTAAAATAATCATTAGTTGCAGCCCTAAACATAATTACATTTTCTGTTCATCAGAGTGACGCCTTTAAGGTCAAATATTGAGCTGCTGGCATCTGTTACACCTGTTAAAAATATAATATCTCAACCTTAAATATTACTTTTAGTAGCTGCTAATCCTGACTCCAAATAGTTTGTTTATTGTAAGAAAATAGTTTTTGTTAAATTTAGTAGATTTAATTGAACATTGTTTCAACTCTCCTGGTAGTTTTGAATGTTTCAGGTCTTAAATCTTGTAATGAAGCACATTTTCCTTCATTGTTATAATGAAAACTAATTTATCATCCAGGTAAAATGTGTAAAATGTCCACCTGTAGAGTTAATGAGTCCTCTCTCCTCGTTCTTTATCTGAGATCCAATCATAACTAATGATTGTTTCAACACAGGTCCTCCTTCCTGGTGATTAATCACTAAATGTAAATTATATCCAACAAACCAAAGTCAACTTCTTTTTCTCTTGTTGGTTTATGTTTGGAGACAGAAATGTTTTGTGTCGACTCGACTGTTTGTTCCAACCATAAAGCAACAGGTTAACATTAAATTAACCAAGTCTTACAGACACCCAACATGTCAGCAGGGAAACTGATAGTTCTGTTAAACCTGTTCCACTTAGTTCAGAACAGGTTTAGAGAACAAACCTGCCGTCTCCATCTTTGTGTTCTCAGAAAGCCGAGGCGCAGCTGGCCTACGAGCTGCAGGCGGCCAAAGAGCAGCAGAAGATCCGCCTGGAGGAGATTGAGATCCAGGTTGTTCAGAGGAAGAAGGAGATCACCATCGAGGAGAAGGAAATCGATCGCACAGACAAAGAGCTCATCGCCACAGTGAAGAGGCCGGCTGAGGCCGAGGCCTACAAGATGGAGCAGCTGGCTGAGGGACAGAAGTGAGTAAAACCTTCAGTGTTCATCTGCTTTTCCTAAAACAGAACCTGCTCAGTAAAACTGTAACGTTCTGTGTGTTTATAAATGTCAGAACTGGATTTATCAAAAGAAAAGATTAGATAATCACCAGACAATAACTGCCCGTGTTGTCTTCATCAGGCTGAAGACGGTTCTGATCGCTCAGGCTGAGGCTGAGAAGATCAAGAGGATCGGTGCAGCTGAGGCGTCCTCCATCGAAGCCGTAGGAAAGGCCGAGGCTCAGAAGATGAGGCTGAAGGCCGAGGCCTACCAGGAGTACGGAGAGGCTGCGAAGACTGCGCTAGTCCTTGACGCCCTGCCCAAGGTCACACACACACACACACACACACACACACACACACACACACACACACACACACACACACACACACACACACACACCAAGCTTCTTTACAACTGATCTGTGTGTTTATTTCAAACATTTTATCACTTCACTCATATTCAGAACAGTTCCTGTTGTTGCAGCACATTAATTAAAACATATTAATAATTAGGCTTCACCTTTCTGTTGTTAAAACCAACAAAAGTAAATAAAAACGGACATAATGTCCCATCATCTCCAGTTGTTTGGAGTTTAACCCACAAGATCCCAGTTAATGGAAAACACCATGGAGTCACTGTCGCTGTCTGTCTTCAAGCTCCGCCCACTCCTCCTGGTGTCAGATGAGCTTTCTTTTGAACTTTAAATAATTAATTACAGAAAAGTAATATTTGAACAAGCAGCAGCAAGGTAAGAACTACAAGAACCAACACCTGAAAAAAGTATCTAAGGTGCATTTATTATT